AAACATGGTTTCTTGTTTAGGAATAATCTAACAAATTAATAATTTGCAAAAGATATATTTTTGCTTATTCCTTTGGTTTAAAAAGTTTAGAAATGTTTATTTTTACTTACTGAAAGGCAGACAGAGAAAGAGGGAGAGTGAGAACATTATCTGCTGATTCACTCCCTAAGTACCTGCAACAGCCAGAACTCGGCCAGGCTGAAGTCAGAAGCCAGGAACTGAGTCAGGACGTCCCATGTAGGTTGCAGGGAGCCAGCCACTTGCGCCATTACTTGCTGTCTCTGAGGGTACAAATTGGTAGGAAACTGGAATCAGGAGTGGGGCCAGCACTTGAGTCCAGGCACTCCAATAAGAGGAGGGGAGCCTCGTGATGTTCTAGCCACTGCACAGGATTCTCACTCCTCTTTAGTTTTAGAGGTCATAAATGTCTATATTTTCATTATACATGAAATAGAACAAAATAAATTAATTTAAAATTTTATAGAATTCTAAGATTCTTTAAAAATTAAATGCTTACAGTAAATAATAAACTTGTATACAATCTTCAACTTTATCCACTCATGCTCTTTAAAAAATATTTATTGATTCTAAATAGGAAGTAGAGATACAGTGGAGCCTGTGTGATTTTTATGAAATCATGGATAATGGTGGAATATATACAGTATTTTTTAAGATTTATTTTATTTGTTTGAAAGGCAGAGTTAAAGAGAGAGGTAGAGCCAAAGAGGGAGAGGGAGGGAGGGAGGGAAAGAGAGAGAGAGAGAGAGAGAAAGAAAGAGATATCTTCCATCTGCTGGTTCACTCCCCAGATGACTGCAATGTCCGGAGTTGAGCTGATCTGAAGCTAGGAGCCAGGAACTTCTTCCAGGTCTCCCACAAGGGTGCATGGACCCAAGGACTTGGGCCATCTTCTACTGCTTTCCCAGGCCATGGCAGAGAGCTGGATTGGAATAGGTGTAGCCAGGACTTGAACTGGTACCCATATGGGATGTTGGCATTGCAGGCTGGGGCTTTAACCCACTGCAAACAGTAGCAACCCCTACATACAGTATTTTTAAAAATACATTGCTTAAATATTTGTAAATGTAAACCTATAGCTTTGGTATAAAAGGGTAGAATGGGATTTGAAAATTCCTAACCAGAATATAAAGACACCATATTCTTTTAAAAAAAAAGCATATCAGATATTTTGTGAATGATATGTGTTTTTACTGTAATCTATAACTAATGACTTTCTATTGATGGGCATTTTCAAATAATTTTGTATTAAATAATCTAACCATTCTCATCATTATAGTGCCATCTACTGGCACTGTCAACTGCCATCTACTGACACCTGTCAACTCTAATTCATTATTTTATTTATTGGGATAAGAGGAGAAAAGAGAGTGTACTCCCAACCACTAGTTCATTACCCAAGCATCTGCAACAGCCTGAGCTAGATCATGGCCAAATCTGGCAGATGGGAATGCAATCCACATCTTCCCAATGGGTGGCAGGAATCTGATTACTGGAGCCATTGCTTCTGTCTCCCAGAATTTGCATTAGTTGGTAAGCTGGAATGAGGAGCCACAGCCTGGAATCAAACTCAGGTACACTGACGTAGATATAAACATTTAACTGCTAGATTGAATACCTACTGCCAGGATTTTTAAAGGAAAGGTTGAAGTAATTCATTCTTAATTTTAAAATGCAACTGATTGTGCCTCTTGTATTTAAAAAATAAGGAAGATTATGTCTAGTTTGGGGTATCTGTTGAAACACTATAGCTAATTTTTTTTAAAATAATAGAAATACCAGGTTTAGTAAGAATTTAAGGGAAAAGGGGAGTCAGTAAGGAACAATAACCTCTTCTGGGAAGATAAGATGCCCTCCTTATTTCCAGGAAAGATATGGGTTGAGTTTAGCCTAAATGGGAGGAAAACTGCGAACAAAACTCTCCAGAGTTGATTTTAAAAGAAATAAAACTTTGGCTGCACAGTCATAAAAAGTACCCCTGATAAACCATGCAGATTGCACATTTGGGTTTGCAGCACACTCTCAGCAACCATTCAACATGTCAGATGCCACTCAAACATCTTCACCTAGGTGCTGTGCAGGTAGTCACACTGGCAGTTCCCCAGGCAGCAGGAAAAAACACAGTTCAGCCTTTGTTATGAGTTAAAGTCATATAGCTAATTCTAACATGTGCCTCAACGTGGATGAACTTTGGGTACATTATGCTAAGTGAAATAAACCAGTCACAGAGAGACAAGTGCTGTACAATTCTGCCTATTTTTTTTTTTTTTTTGGTAAAATGTTCCGTTTATGCTTTAGGAGAACATGAAGATAAATATACCTTACATATTACAAATTTTAATATACAGGAAAGACCCACGCCCTCATTTGTCTAAACAGTCTGCTTAGTTTTTAAACCCTGATGAGCACACGGCAGAACACACAGCAGGTGGCAGACCCGGGTTGGCTCAGCTGGGCTCACTGCACAACAGCACGTGGATACGCATTCAAGATCCCTGCCCAGTGCAGGCGCCAGGGGTCGGGGTTCAGCCAGCTAGGCCGCGAGGGCGTCACTTCCTGAAGCGCTTGAAGAGGGGGTGCACGTGTTTCGTGGTGGCCTTGCTCCGGGATGAGTGGTACTCCATGTATACCGTGTCATCGGCCCCGGACATGGAACTCATGGTGCCGAAGCGGCGTGATGCCTGGCTGGACTTGGAGCCGAATTCTCCAGCAACCACCTCTTCCTCAGCGTCCAGATCGGTGGCTGCCAGCACTTTCTGTAACAGCTGCTGCTGCTCCTCTTTAGTGGAAATATCTGGAGCTGTCACACTATGGAAACAGTAGAATGGTGATTGCCAGAGGATGAAGGGGAAGGAAATGCAGAGCTGTTTGATGGGTTCAGAGTTTCAGGCTTACAAGATGTAAAGGTCTAGAGATCAATTGTGTAACAGTTTATGGATGTACTTACTAGTACTTACTCTCCTGAATGGTTCAGTTAGAAATGGTTAAAATGGCAAACTGTGTGGTACCACAATGAAAAGAAGTATAGATATATGAAAAATCTTGTTGCTATTCTTATGGTTTTACAGTAAGACCCCCTCATCTAAGGTTTTACTTTCCATAGTTTTAGCTACCTATGGTCAGTTGTAGTCTGAAAACATTAAATGGAAAAATGACAGAAATTAGCAATTCATAAATTTTATATAGCTTTTGTTATAGCAAGTAGTTATAATTGTTCTATTATTATTTGTAATCTTTCACTGTGCCTAATATAAAAAATTTACTATATGAATGTATGTATGAGAATACTTCAAAGTTCGTAGGAAATAGAATTAAAAGATAAGTTGATTTTGGTGCCAAAAGTTTTTTAAATCCCTGCATAGTTTTTTCATAATATGTATGCTGCATGAATTTATTTGAAGGTCTCTCATACAGGAAAAAAACAATATATGAATATAGGTTTGGTATTACGAATGATTTCAAGTGTCTGCAGAACACCTTGGATAATTCCTATAGATGGGGGAGACCGCTGTAATTTGGGACAAAAGGCTAAAGAATAAAATGAATCTTAATGATTCTGATCAATAATGAGTAGAGACTCGATGTCACTAAGACAAGTCATTTGAGTTTGCTGCCAGTAGAGGGAAACATTCATTCTAATTCATCAAATCGTTTGTTCATAGGCAAAAATATTGACCTCAGGAATGTGAGTGGACTTGACTCAAACTTCCAAGTTTGGGCCTGTTTAATTTTAGTTTCCAACTGTTTGAGAGAGCATGTTAAAACATTTCCCTGCTTATTAAGTTCGTGAATATATTATCAGAGCTGTTTCAGTGGTGTGAAGACCTGACCTGGGTTTGGTCAAGGTAGGCTCGGAATGAAACCCATTTAGGATTCAATAAGGGCCATGAAAATGGAGGCAGTAGATAATAAATGACTCTTAAAAGCTTGATTTTGTGGCAGGTATTTGGGGGGAGCAGTTAAGATGCCACTTGGAATGCCTGCATTCCATATCACATTTCCTAGATTCCAGTCTCTACTCAACTTTTAATCCCAGCTTCCTGAAAATGTACACCCTGAGAAGTGGGAGGTGATGGCTCAAGTACTTGAGTCCCTGCCACCCATGTGGGAGATCCAGATTGGGTTTCAGACTCCTGACTTTGGCTTGGCACAGCCCTTCTGTTGCAGGCATTTTGGGGAGTGAACCTACAGATTGAAGATTCGCTCTCTCTCTCTCTGTCTATTCCTTTCAAATTAAAAATCAATTGACTAGGAAGGTAAGGAAAGAGACAAGGAGAAGCCAGAGGGGATGAGGAGGTGAAGGTAGGACATTAATAGACTGAGGAATAGTAGCTAGTGGTATGAAAGAGTGAAATGGTAATTATTGATGGATCAAGGGCATAGAGAAGGCAGGAAGGATGACAGCAGGAGCACGTGTCAGTGGACTAATGGTAGATAAGAGGAGAGAGAAGAAGGGACATGTGTGTGTTGAGGGGGACTAATGCAGGAAAATGTATTGATAGACATGAGACTTTGGGGAGACTGTTAATTGTTTTAAATATTTGAAACATTTTTAACCTGTGGATTTGGTCTACTGTGTGTAACTACCACTCAAAAGACAAGGAACCCAGGGCAAAGAGCATAGCATAAAATTAACTCACTGGAGCTTAATATGTAAATAGTGACAGATGTGCTGATCACAGTAAATGCCCACCTTACCTACTTCTTGGTGCATTTAAATCAGCCTACATTCTCTCACTTTCCGAAGGTTGGATGATAATGGGCTTTCCTAGGACTTCATACGGCCAGGCTCCCATTCTCAAATGAGGGGTCCTTTATTCTATGGGTTCTCCTTTACGTGATTGTAAACCAATAGCTTGTACCTTATCTGAGCAGCCAAAGTCCTGCTTTAGTATTGGAACTGTGTTAGTTTCAAACCTGTCTTTTTGTAAATTTTCATCACCAAGATAAGGGTATACCTAATGGGTCTGAATTATTTCCAGGTCATCCATTTGCTGTAGCTGTTTTTGAGGATCATGTGTGGTTCTCAGATTGGGCTATGCCATCGGTAATAAGAATGAACAAGAGGACTGGCAAAAACAGGGTACGTCTGCGAGGCAGCATGCTGAAGCCCTCATCACTGGTTGTGGTCCATCCATTGGCAAAACCAGGTACACGGGAGAAGTAACGCAGTCATTCCTTGGCTACATAATCTGTGACTATTTTAATTGATGGTGGGCAGCAGGGGCAGAGTAATCTGCAGAGATATTAACATTTTTTGAGATTTGGACTTCATTTAAACTAAGACGGTCTGGTAGTTTGGTAACTTAGTCTTTATCCTCAATTTGGTAATTTTGGTAATTTGGGCCTTTATCCTTTCAATATCTTTTCTTTTTCCTGAACAGATTTTACATGCTGGCTACATTCCCAACACCCTTGGGTTAAAGGCACTGAGGGTAGGCAGTTTAGATACCTGTCCTGGAAGCCTCCACACACACTTGGGTCTTTGCCCTCCTCCTGAGAGTGCTGGGGAGTGAGTGTCAGCCAGGAGTAGGCAAATGCAAAAGGCACCCAACTGCCTACAGTTGCTCTTCTTTCTGAATTGCCCTTTGTCAGTCTGGCTAGATGGTGAGTCAGCAAATAGGAATCACATCTGACTAAAGAGCTCCTTGAACCAGAGCACTGTCTGTACTCAGTAAATACTCAGAAGGCAGTGGCATTCGGAGCTTCTCTTAGAATCAGGAGCTCATTATGGGAACTCTTCGGAAACAGCTCTCAACACACTCTCTGTTTAGATTCTGTCAGTTTTCGTTCCCAAAAGCTGTAGACTGTGATTTGCATCAACAACATCCCTTTCATCTCCAAATCCATCTGTGAATTTGCCTCTCTTCTCTACTAGGAGCAGATCCCTGCTTACATCAAAATGGAGGCTGTGAACATATTTGCGAAGGGAGATTTGGAACTGCTCAGTGTTCGTGTCGTGAAGGTTTTATGAAATCCCCAGATGGGAAAAAGTGCTTGTCTCTAAATGCTGTTCAGATGTGGGCAGGTAACTTGATAAGTTATGTAGCTAAAGTACCCTGCTGTGGCTCAGGAATACAGCTGTACAACTGTCCCTGTACTTCTACTGATTTCTAATTCTGTTACTAAAAACTTCTGTGTTTAAGAAAGCTAAGAGTATGTTTGAGTTCTTCCCTTCTAAGTTTTGGGTTCCTTAGACACTGGCCTCTAATTGTAAAAGTCTTAAGTTGTAATCCCAACATTTTCCCATTTGCTGTTGAGTGGGTCCATGCATTTTCTCAAATTTGTAAAAATGTTTAGAGATGTATTGTTTAGAAGTTCTATGTCCTCAATTTTAGAGGTAGTCATATACAACCCCTCAACCACAAGCAGGTATTAATATAAGAAGTAAAGTCTTGGGGCTGGCACTGTGGTTCACTCAGTTAATCCCTCGCCTGCAGCGCTGGTATCCCATATCGGCACCAGTTCTAGTCCCGGTTACTCCTCTTCCAGTCCAGCTCTCTGCTGTGGCATGGAAAGGCAGTGGAGGATGGCCCAGGTGCTTGGGCCCCTGTACCCACATGGGAGACCATGAGGAAGCACCTGGCTCCTGGCTTCGGATCGGCATAGCTCTGGCTGTAGCAGCCATTTGGGGGGTGAACCAACAGAAGGAAGACCTTTCTCTCTGCCTCTCTCACTGTCTATCTGTCAAATAAAAAAAGAAAAAGAATTAAAGTCTTTGATTTAAAAAAAGAAAAGTGTGAGAAATTTAACCTGAGAAGGCTTTCATCCACTTTTTAACAAACTAAATATGATTTTGAGGAAGAGAAATGAAAAGGAAACCAAGTGTGATGTGTAACCAGTAGTACTGATTTGCCTCCCTTCAATGTGTGTACCAAAGAATTTAGGCATTTTTGGACTCACCTCTTGATATGTTTCTACCAAAAATGAGTCAATAGTAATTTAAATTTTATTAAAGCATTTTTAAAGACTTTGTGATTATCTAGTAGGCACAGTCAACATATAGATAGATAACAAATAAATGGATTTATCTATCCATAGAACAGAATTGGATATTTTGGTGATTTTCAAAGTTTTCTATTACTTTCTCTGCTTAGGACAACAGTTTCAAAACTCTTAGTTTTGACCCCTTTATAAACTCTTAAAAATTGAGAGCTACAAAGAGTTTTTATCTGTGCCTATCTGTCAATGTTCACGATATTAAAATTAAAACAAAATTTAAAGATTTATATTGAAATTACAACCATAAATCCATTGTCTATTAAAAGTACATTTTTACAAAACTGAAATAAGTATATTTTTTAAATGAAAAGGCCTATAGTGAGAAGAGCAGTGTTGTTTTGCATTTATACATGGTTTTGATGTCTGACTTAATAGAGGACAGCTGGACTCTCATAGCCACTTCTGTGTTCAGTCTGTTGTTGTGTTTTTCTTTTTTTAATCAGTAAAGAAAATCTGGCCTCTCACTGATGTGAGGTTGTAAAAGGGAATACTATTTAATCCCCTTTTAAATGTCTTTTTGAATAGTGTTCTTTTGATACTGTACCAAAGCCAGTAGTCTCTTAAAGCTCAGTGGCAATGTGGATTTTGACAGTGACAACAAACACAGTTAGTTGTTGTCCTTGAAGTGACAGACTCACTTCATTCATTTTGAGAAAATGCTTGCCGAATACCCAAGTCTTAATAGCACAATTTGTCTGCCAATTTTTTAAAGTAAAAATCATGTCACATGGAGGGAAAAGAGGCTAGTCCCCAAAAAATTGCTTAAATGCTTAAGTGCTTTTCCTCTCGACAGCCGCCATTGCTTCAGTATGCATGGAAACTAATAATGTGTGTTGTTCCTTTTATAAAACAGACTATCGCAAAGCTATACAGTCAATGGTTGAGAGTTTTACAAATTAATAACTCTTATTTCTTAAGTACAATCTTCTTGCGAAACATTTAAAAAAATGTGTAGAATTTGGTGTCATTGCTTTGACTAGTGCTTTGGCTGTATCAATGCAAGTGAACACAGTGAAAAGAAGCAAAGACCATCCAATTATTAATACACAGTTTTGACCAAATGAACTTTGTGCATTGGGTCCTCCGAGGGTCCACACAGCACAATTTAGAGAACTGCTGCCTTAGAGAATCCATTTCTCCATGTTTTTGGGTGAATGGGAAGGAGCATACAGGAATCCCATGCCGCTATTACATCATGGCTTCTTTATGTCCTTTCATATTTTAACATGCAGATAATATGAAGCTAATGTAAACATAAAAGCAACTTAAAGGTCAGGGCGTGTGTATGGAAGACAGGCTGGGGAGATCATCCCTCTAGTAGGTCATCAATAAAGGCAGCCTGGGATTATCAACTGTGTTCATAAGGAATTTGGTATTTGATAGAGGCTAAAAGAGCCCTACCCTCTTTCCCTCCTTGCTCCCTACCCTCCAAATATTTAGGTGCATTGAGTGAAACTGGAAGGATATGGGATAGCAGAGTGAGGTTTCCTGAATCACCCAGACCCTGCCAGTTTCCGGGAATCCTCTTATGCCAGAATGAGTCTGAACTGACAATCAGTGAATTAGCCATAAATATGAATTAAAACACACGTCCCTTGAAATAGGAAAGCCAAACTAATTGAATCTGTTAACCTTCAGCAGGTGGTGAAGCAGATCCAAGTAACCAAGCAACACCATTGGACACCTTGTTGAAGAGTAGATCCTCAGAAGATAATGTTACAGAATCTCAACACATGCTGGTGACTGAGATCATGGTGTCAGGTATGAGCAGCACTGCCTTGGTTCCAGCAGTTTCTGTCTGATACATGAGAAATTCTGTATTCTCTCTTAATGTTGGCTAAACCCACACAAAGTTAATGAAACCAAACCTTAGAATCCAGTCCTTCTCTTTGGACAGGATGCCTGAGGGAGATGCCTCCATATTAGACTACACATAAAAACTGTGTACCTTGAGAGTTTTTAGAATGAATGTTCTTTGAAGAGATACAAGACTACTTTAACCAGTTTGAGGAAAATGGAATTAAAAGATTATTTTGGTGTAAAAAATTTTGAAGTTCATGCAACTTTTCATACTTTAGATTTTCCATGAACTTTTTTAAGATCCCAGTATAGCTTGGAAACAAAAGTAGAAAATAGGACATAGTAGATTTAAATGTATCCCTGTCCATGTCTAACATTTGGGGAATTTGGTTCATCAAGCTGTACTTCCATGAAGATGAAGAACTGATAGTAATTGACAAGCAAATATAGGTTGATTGCTTCTACTGCTGCAGAAAGTCCATAAACAGCAAATGTTGGAATTCTCTGTTGCACATTCATCCAAAATGATAAGCAGTTCATTCTGTATGCAACAAGTTTAGGGAAACTAAGATTTTTATGTTTTCTTATGTTCTACAATGGTGCTTTAAAAAGTTTGTGGAAAATGAGTTAAAAGATAAGTTTATTTTGGTTCAAAAAGTGTTGCTATTCATGCATAGTGTTTTCATAATATGTATTTCCATGAACATTTTGAAGACTCGTCCATATTCACTAACTAGGCCGGTAGGTTTCAAAGAGAGTTTAGGGTTTAGCTAAGCCCTAGAGCTTCTGCAGTACCCACCCTCCTTCCTTCTAGGTCGGTGCCCTTGAATTAGCAATGCTTTGCAACATTTTCTTTGGTTATATCACTAAGTGACATTTTGTTTGAGCAAAACATTTATGGTTAAAAAAAAAAGTCTGAAAACCCCACATTAAAACATTTAAGCAAGTGCTTCACCCCAGATTTTGTCTGTAGAGAGAGAGGTCTTCCATTTGCTGGTTTACTCCCCAAATGGCCTCAATGGCCAAGACTGGACCATATGGAAGCCACCGTTAGGAGCTTCTTCTGGGGCCCCCATGAGGGTGCAGGGGCCCAAGCACTTAGGCTGTCTGCCACTGCTTTCCCAGGTTATCAGCAGGGAGCTGGATGGAAAGTGGAGTGGCTGGGACCAAAGTGCCACAGGTGGAACTTCACCCACTATGCCACAGTCCTGGTCCCTAATTTTTAATTAATGTTTTAACAGATTCAGTGTGCTTTGTAGATACAGTTCTAAGGACATAATTATATTCCCTTCCTCCCTCCTCCTCTCTTTCCCTTTCATTCTTCTTCCTGCTCCCTTTCTTTCTTTTTTTAGTTTTTGAGATAACATATTTTAAATTTATATTACAGTAGAAAGGCTTAATACTTCACCAAATAAGAAATTAACAAATAAAAAGCAAAAAGAGTCTAGTTTACTGGGAATAGACTAGCTATAAATAATAATTGAATGGAAAAATAACCATTTCACCCATATACAGTACATTTTAAAGTAATCACAGATAATTAAAACTGTAACATTCTTTTTTCTTTTTTCAAATTTTATTTAAGTTATATAAATTTCATGTATTTCATATATACAAATTCAGGTACATAATGATACTGCCAACCCTATCCACCCTCCCTCTCCCATTCCCACTCTTAATTTTTACAAAGATCTAGTTTCAGCTTACTTAATGATTGTAAATTAACCCTACGTGAAGTAAAAGAGTTCAAAAAATAGTATGAAGAAAAAAAAAACAGTTTCTCAATGGAAGAGACAAGGGCTGTAAACAATCATTGAATCTCACAATGTTCATTTCATTCTAATACATTACATTTTAGGTACTCTATTAGTTACCTTGGATCAGGGAAAACATATGGTATCTGTCTTTTTTGGGACTGGCTTATTTTACTAAGTATAATCATTTCTAGTTGTGTCCATCTTGTTGCAAAAGATAGGATTTCATTAATTTTTACAGTTGAATAGTACTCCATGGTATATATATACACCATAATTTCTTTATAAATCAACAGTTGATGGAAATCTGAGTTGATTCCATGTCTCAACTATTATGAATTGTGCTGCAGTGAACATGGGGGTACAGATAACTCTTTCATATGCTGATTTCTTTTGGTTTGGTAAATTCCCAGGAGTGGGATGGCTGGATCATATGGTAGGTCTGTATTTAGATTTCTGAGGTATCTCCATACTGTATTCCACAGTGGCTGCACGAGTTTACATTCCCACCACAAGTGGATTAAGATACCTTTTTCTCCCATATCTCACCAGCATTTGTTGTTTGTTGATTTCCGTATGAGAGCCATTGTAACTGGAGTGAGGAGAAACTTCATTGTGGTTTTGATTTGCATTTCCCTGATGTCTAGTGATCCCGAGCATTTTCTCAAGTGTGTGTTGGCCATTTGAATTTCCTTTCTTAAAAAATGCCTGTCCAAGTCTTTTGCTCATTTTTACAAAAGATTTATTTATTAATTTGAAAGGCAGAATTATAGAGAGGCAGAGAGAGAGAGAGAGAGAGAGAGAGAGAGAATGAGAGAATATCTTCCGTCTTCTGGTCCACTCCTCAAATGGCTGCAATGGCCAGAGCTGGGTTGTTCTAAAACCAGGAGCCAGGAGTTTCTTCCAGGTCTCCCATGTGGGTTCAGGGCCCAAGGATTTGAACCATCTTCCTCTGCTTTCCCAGGTGCATTAGCAGGGAGCTGGGTTGGAAGTAGAGCAGCCAGGACCGGAACTGGCACCCATATGGGATTCCAACACTGCTTAACCTGCTACACCATAGCACCAGCCCCTTTGCCCATTTCTTTTAAAAAAATTATTTATTTATTTATTTATTTGAGAGAGTTACAGAGAGAGGCAGAGGCAGAAAGAGAAAGCCAAGTCTCATCCACTGGTTCACTCCCCAGATGGCCTCAATGTCTGGAACTGAGTTGATTTGCAGCCAGGAGCCAGGAGCTTCTTCTGGGTCTCCCACATGGATGCAGAGGCCCAAACACTTGGGCCATCTCCACTGCTTTCCCAGGCCACAGCAGAGAGCTGGAACAGAAGAGGAGCAGCCAGGATTCAAACTGGTGTCCATTTGGGATGACATCATGGCGGCTTTACCCACTATGCCACAGCACTGGCCCTTGCCCACATCTTAACTGGATTGTTTGTTTTGTTGTTGAATTTTTTGAGCTCTTTATAGATTCTGGATGTTAATCTTTTATCAATTGCATGGTTTGCAAATATTTTCTCCCATTCTGTTGGTTGCCTCTTCACTTTGCTGTGTTTCTTTTGCAGTGCAGAAGCTTCTCAGTTTGATGTAATCCCATTTGTCAATTTTGGTTTTGATTTTTGTGCTTCTGGGGTCTTTTCCAAGAAGTTATGCCAATGTCTTGCAGAGTTTCCCCAATGTTCTCTACTATTTTGATGGTATCAGGTCATAGATTTACATCTTGATTCATTTTGAGTGGATTTTTTACATAAGGTATAAAGTAGGGGTCTAGTTTCATACTTCTGCATGTGGGGATCCAGTTTTTCAGCACTATTTGTTGAAGAAACTCCTTGCTCCAGGGATTGATTTTAGCTCCTCTGTCAAAGATAAGTTGGTTGTAGATATGTAGATTTATTTCTGGAGTTTCTGTTCTGTTCCATTCTTAGCCATTGGTTTCACAAAGGTATAAAGCAAAGTTTTGCAATGCTGTATTTGCAGCAATACTGATACACACAGACATTTTTTTATTTTTCTTCTTTTTTTCATTTGTTCAAAGGTATAGACTAAAGACTAATATTTGAAGGACTCTAATGCTAGGGTAAATGACAGATAATACATCAGGCACATGGTGGGAATGGGAGAGTGATGAAGTGACCAAAGATTTGTGAGTCCACACTTAATAGGCTGTGTTTGGATTTATTCTTGGAGGCTATAATCCCCCTGCTGAAGAACAGATGAAACTGATTGTGTTGGTGAAAAATATCTCATCTTTCTGTACCTGTTTTGTCCCAGCCTATGAAGGTTTAATTCTGACTTGGTTAACATAAAAAGGTCTTATTTATATTGCTGAGTGGAATTTCATGTCATCTAAGTGTCTATGGCTAGAAAAAAAATGTTGGAAAACTCCACCCTAGGATTTTATAATAAAATCTAGATACTTCATAGTCCTCAAAGAGGGTTCACCAGCCCTTCTGTCCTGGGCTTTCTATGCCCTTTTCAGTTATACTAGCCTTGCCTGAAACACATACATGTTGTTTTCCCAGTACACAGTGCTCTTTTACCCATTTCAATTCTTGTTTATTTTTTAGATCTCAGTTTAAATGCCCGACCTTTGAGCAGGCGAGGTTGCCTATTACAACTTAGAATCAAGTTCAGTTCCTTGATTGTACTTATCATGCTTATACAGATATTCCCCAACTTACATTGGGGCTGTGTCCTGTAGGACCATTGAAGTTGAAAATATCCAAACTTGAAAATGCATTGAATTCATCTCACCTACTTAACATGATAGCTTAGCAACACAGTGCCCTGTAGTTTAATGTGGGGCTGACTGGTAGTCATGACTGCTGCCACTGTCCCACATTGCAAAAGTGTGTTGTACCTCATTTTGCTAGCCTGGGAAAAAATAAAAATTGGGATGTGATTTCTTCTAGATATGTATAGCTTTAGAAAATTCTATAAGTTGAATCATCATAAATCAGAGACTATCTGTACTTCAGCAGTTACTTGGCAAGATAGCAGAGCCCCTGCCTGCATCCTTCACCATTGTATTTTGGCCCTAAGTAAGGCCTTATGCATGATGAGTACTTTTTAATAAATTTTACTTTAAAAATATTTGTTTATTTTTATGTATTTGAAAGGCAGAGAGACAGATTTTTCCATCCACTGGTTCAGTTCCCAAATAGCCACAACCACTAGGGCTGGGCCAGACCTTAGCCAGGAGCCTGGAACTTCATCTGGATCTCCCGTGTGGGTGGCAGGGTCCCAAGCACTTGAACCATCTTGCTTGGCTTCCTAGGAGCATTTACAGGGAGCTGGATTGGAAGTGGAGCAGCTGGGACTTGGATGGGCATTGGTATGACAGCATCTCAGGCAACAAAGTAACCCAATGTGCCACAATGCCAGCCCCAGAAAAAATCACATTTTCTTCCAGTCTTTATAACCATGAGACGTATGCCTAGCTGAGATTGTCACCTATATTTCAGAGAAGAGAAATGTAAGTGTAGATATTTGTGGCAGACAGAACTTTGGCTACAGCCAAGCCCCCACAGAAAACTTTATATCCATGTACATTTCATTGTGCAAAGCTGATGAGGATTTACAAGTTGCCAAGTAAATTCAGAATCATATTCTGATTTGAGGTAATTCTGCAAGTTCTTAAAAATGTCTTGAGTAATTCGATACTGTCAATCCTACACTCTGAGTAGCCTTGTGATTTGGGAAGTAGTCTTCCAAATAAATGCTGAATGAAATGAATAATTGATTTAGTCTGAACTTACCCAACTCTGAAGAGTTGTGAATGACAGGAGATGATCAAGCAAGCATTAAAGGCATATGTTCTCACAAGAGAAATCTTCTCAAACACAGTTATCCAGTGTCTGCATTCACATGGCACCTGAGTCCTGCTTATATCATTTAGCTGTCTTTAATTTATGGGCAGGTTTGGAGGGTTTCTTTTGTCTCTTTTGCACTCAGATGAGCAAACTTTCCAGTGAATATACAGATGATAGTTTATGTCCTACTGTGATATGTATGAGCCCCTAAACTCTTAAGAAAGTAGGAGAGGGGTGGCATTTGAAAAATGATTACAAACGTAAGTAGCTAAACAGAAAGAAAGAAAGAAAGAAAGAAAGAAAGAAAGAAAGAAAGAAAGAAAGAAAGAAAGAAAGAAAGAAAGAAAACTTGCTCATGTTTATGGCTCAGCATTTAACTCCATCCCCTGGGGCATTTGCATTTCAATGGAGTATGAAATGGAATGATCCATTTACAGCATTTAACTTACATGGTTCATGACTTTGTAAAAGTGCCTGCAGGTCTGCAAGTCACTGCATAAATCTTGATAACATACATAGTTGATTATCTATATTCTATTACAGTTGAAACATGCTATTAGTAAATTGACAGTAAATCTTTTAATGGTTGAATCTCTTGGCCATGTTGGTGAACAGATCTACCCACTACATATTCATCTTTGTGGGAGGTAAAAAGAGATCAATTCCTCATATATGTCAAATGGTTAGGAATTTTTAAATAAGTTATAAAGCTTCTTGAAATTTGAGTTTATTCTTAATAATTTATTATTTATTTTATTTATTATTTTTATATTAAGTTTATTCTTAATAATTTTGTAGGTCAAGCTATAAATGTTTTAGAAGAGGTTATAAATAGGTTCACACCAGGCTCGTTGGATACCAAATAATCCTCTGATATTGAAGTTTGTTGTGAGTTTGTAAATAGTCACCTGGTATATGGATCCTGTACTACAAACATAACGTACAGGTTAATGAAGTGTTTCTATCTGGAATTAACCTGTCACAGAACTTGAGTAGGGAAATGCTGGGATGTTCTGTAGAATACAGAACATTAAAATCCATTTTCTCCTCTTAGTTCTGGAAATAATGGCATGAGGTTCTCCTTGTTTGCAGAACAAGATGACTGTGCTTCTGTGGGATGTGGTGGGCGTGCTCAGTGTGTCTCTGAGGGAGAGGCTGCCACGTGCCAGTGTTTGAAAGGATTTTCTGGGGATGGAAGACTCTGTTCTGGTAAGAGCAAAGGCCAAGCACATAGATTTGGAAAATCATAAACCAGAAACCTTTTTTCTCATACCAACTCAAAATATTCAGGAGGATTTGTGTAATCAGCAGGTTTGGATAAGTTGTTAGATGTTAAAAATAATGGATGCACACATAGAAAATATGAGACATGTATTTAAACATAAATGTGAACATTATACTGTTTTTGCATTAAGAGGAAGAACTGTAATTAAGAAGCATGAATTTGAGTTCAGGTCAAATTTATGAATTCACCAATTCTGATGAAAATACAACTTTTTTTCTTCCCCAGAAACTTGGGTCTAAGTATTAGTTAAATAAATAGATTGAGATTAGTAGGTTTCTGTTTTATATTGATAGCCTGGAAATAATAAGTTAGTAATTACTGAAAAAGTCTCAGTCTTTGTGGTTTGAAACTCTAGCAAGCTGATTTAGTTATACCTACTTAGCTGTTCAGACGATGAGAACTCTAAAAATGGATCAGAAATTAACTTTACCTTCGTGAGGCAAACGTTTGCGTTACTTTTGCAAACAGTACCTATAATTGGCTGATTAACTGAATATAAGATTATGCTTATTGTTTCCTATCATTTCTGTTTCTACCAGGATTGCCTGAATATCTCACTAGTTCACCTTTTACCCACAGATATAGATGAATGTGAGATGGGGATCACAGTTTGCCCTCCTGTCTCCTCCAAGTGCATCAATACAGAAGGTGGCTATGTCTGCCACTGCTCAGAAGGCTACCAAGGAGATGGGATTCACTGTCTTGGTGAGACTGGGTGTGTAAGGGAGGAGGGTGGAGGCCAGCCCTGGGCAGATGACATGTGGGTGTGGTTGGCTGAGAGAAGACAGGATATAGCTGAGGTGACACACATGTCAAGACTGACACATTTCAGTCCTTGGTAAATAGTCAGGTTGTGCCCTTGCGCTCTCGCTGCATCAGTCAGCACTGAGTGCTTGCCCTGCTTGATCAACCAACCCATGCTTTTCTAGCCCTTTCTCTGGGCTTCCAGTGTCACCAGTGTCTCATTAGTACTCCGTATTTGAGCCGTCATGGGGGAATCAGTCAACACTTCTTTGTCACTGAGCTTGGCAACTGAAATGTGGTGAATGCAGGGCTGATGTGGATTGTTGAAAGTCACTGCTATGAGCAGATCAAAAAGGTGACTTGGTTCTGTGGAGGGGCTCATCAGGTGTTTCTGATGAGTTCAGCAGATGGGAGATTCAAGCCATTGGCACTTAGGTGCCAATGAAAAGAATGATTAAAAACTCTTTCATAATCACCATCCTTGGCCAAGGCTGGCTCTGGCCTGTTGATTGGGAGTTCACCTGGTGGCTGCAACTTGCCAGGTTTGCAGCAAAGCATCACCCTGCAAGTGCAGGCCTGCCTGAAGCTATCCATGGCCTAATCAAGGGGTTATCTGCAGTTTGACAAAGCTTTAGACTTTCTCTTTTTGTATTTTCTTTTCCTTCTTCTGGGAACAAAAGTTTTCACATTGAGATGCACATGCCCTGATAACAAATTCAGATGATATTGCTTTCTCCCATGTGTTAAGGTGAAAGATGAAATATCAGTAAAAATGATCACTTTTCTAGATGGAGTTGGTTTGAATCAGCCCTTTATCTCATTCATTTTGTATAGTCCAGACATCTGCAATGTTCTTGTAGGCACCTATTTTGGCTGTCAGTCAGGAAAATGTCACTACTCTAATTAAGCAAGCACATTCATAATTAGACAGATTTCTTAATTTCCTTTGAAGAGAGAGAAGATATCCTTTTGTGGATGTTTAAACTCATTCGCCTCTGGGCTCTCTGTTACTAACCTAGCCCTTCCAGTGTGAAACATGCAACAAAAGATCATGACCCTGCCTGCCTAGTTGGCACAGGTTCCTTGAGCTGCCACTGAAACAGTGGGTTCATCCCTATTCCTGTTCTCTTTTTCTCTCTCCTCTCTTCCTTCTTTCTCTCTTTTCCTGTAGATATATAGATATAATGCTTTGGACTGTGGGCTGTACACAATAGCTGCTATATAAAAGAGTTGTTGTTATTACAAGAATAGTTATATTTCTTGGCCAAGAATACATCTTTGTTTTTGCATTTTGGGAAAGCTATCTATTTCTCTACCAAGGTGATGGTTCATTGAGATAAAGGAGTTAATGTGGGCCGTTCAGAATAGTGATTCACTGGGATGAATATTTAATTAGTCCCTTTTAGACACAGTGCTAGGAATTGTGGGGAATGCAAGATGGGAAAGGCAATCCTTGCTGCCAAAAAAATATAGTTGTGATCAGTGGTGATGAAAGAGAAGTTAAAACCACAATGAAAGTTCAGAACTGGGAGAAATATCTGAGGTGTTAGGAAGGATTTCATAGAAGAAGTGTCATTTTGGGGGGACCATGAGATGCGTACATTTTCATTAGGTGGAAATGGGAAGGGGCAGAGTGTACTCCAGGCATAAACAAACCCTGTGTCTTACACAGGGAATAGACAGTAGCTTAGCTGAGCAGTAAGTGTAGGTCATATACAGAGAGGACAGAAACTGAGGCTGGTGAGGTGATACACGCCATAACGAAGTCCCACAGACCCAGTGACTTGGACAACAGAAATTTGTTTCCTCACAGTTCTGGAGTCTACAAGTCCCAGAGAACATTCCAGTTGGTTTGGTTTCTGTTGAAGTATCCTCTTCTAGCTTGTACATGGCCTCTTTTTCACTGTTAACTTATACAACTTTTTATCTGTAGCGTCCGGAGAGAATGAGAGTGATAGAGAGTGTGCCAGCTAGAGAACAAGAGAGAAAAGAGAGAGCAAGCGACACTCTGGGTTTCTTCCCCTTCTATCAGGACATCAGTCCCATTGTATTAGGACTTGTTGAAGACTGGAATCTGAGGGCCGGTCATTGGGATTTTACTTTTCCTGGTCACTGCTGTCCTAAGTTTTCTAGTAACCACATTATAAGAAGTAAAAAGAATAGCTGAAAGTGATTTTCATAATTTTTTTATTCTAATGTCTCTCAAATATTGACATCTACTATGTAATCAGTGTAACAATTATTGAGATATTTTACATTCTTAATAATTGTGATTCTAAGTCTTCAGAATCTGGTATGTGCTTGATACATAAGTGCATCTTTGTATGGACTAATGTACTTCCGGTGGTTCATACGTATGGTGATGGCTACAGGGACGGCACAACTGTAGGGACCAGACAGAGCCATTGGCAGCATCTGAGTTTGTGATGGTGTAATCATCACTGTGATCCAGGGAGAACCACCTGGCTACTGATGTTTACGTTGGAGGGAGGAGACCTGGGATGCAGGAATGGGATGAGGCTATTTTTGTTGTGATGTCAAATTGAGAGGAAGGAAAGAACGAACTGTTAGGCTAGAAGTAACTGAGAAAGGAAAAGGTGGGTGGAAATAGAAAAGAAAGGTTGATTTAATTATGCAGTTCAAATCCCAAAAATGTTATGTCCAATGTAACATGTGTGTGAATGGCTGGGTATCTATTCGCAAAAGTGAAGTATGAATTGTTAGTATCTGTACTGCTAAAATGTTTGCCTAGAGTAGTTTTCCAGTCTGTGATTTGGGGAAGTCTATTTTCCTTCCAAGCGGGAGAAAGACTTGCAGCCTTTTATCAGAAGCTTGGCACATCTGAATGGCATGCGCCTGAGGAGCCCAGTCTCTCCCTCTCCCTCCTCCTCTCCCCCTCTCTCCCTCTTCCCCTCTCTCCTTCTCTTCCTCTCTCTCCCTCTTCCCCTTCCTAAGAACATGCAGCATGACTGAAGCTGAGGATGCACCCCTTCTGGAATGTTGTACATTTTGGTGTGTAACCCTCTTTCCTCCCCTGCACCCCACTTGTCTGACAGATATTGATGAGTGCCACTTGGGGATACATAGCTGTGGAGAGAATGCCAACTGCACAAACACGGAGGGAGGCTACACTTGCATGTGTGCTGGCAGTGTTTCTGAACCTGGACTCATTTGCCCTGGTAGGTGGGTGGGTGGTCTGGATGGAGAGGGAAGCGCTTGGTTTAGGGAAATTCTGTACCCCAGTGTGTGTTTTAGCCTAGAAATCATTTCTTTTGGTCAGCCTGGAAAACTGAACTTTTTGAGTGTATTGATGCTCTGCTTGAGAACTTGAAATGGTCCAGGCTTCATTCATTGAATAGTATCTGGAATAAATCCTTTTTTATTATTCACAGTTCAATAAAGGTGGCAACACAGATGGTTCTCTTTAACTGTGCAACTAACCTCCCAGTATGTAATATTGATTCCTGGAGAAAAACTTTATAGGGCTAGGCAGGTCATGAGTATGTCTGGACTCCTAGTATTTTCAATTGCCTTCAAGGATTTTAAAATACTACTTCAAACAGTCAGCACTTCTTGATCTCATTTAGAACTCCACTGGTCTTCTTTTTGTTTTAAAATGTTCATAAAAATCACCTTGTGCTTCTTAAAACTTCTCACCATCAGCACCCCAGAAAGGAAGCTGGTTTCATCTTGACCCTGGAGCCAAAATCAGGGCTCCATCCCACCACCCCTGAGAAAGGAAAGTTCTGTGTTTACCTGGTCTCTGTCTTTTTAGCATGTTATTATTCTAAAAAAAAAAAAAATGTTGTTCTTGAAGATACTGAACAACTGATACTTGTATCATCAGCTATACACCCTAATGTGTTATATTTATTTATTTATTTATTTGACAGGCAGAGTTAGACAGTGAGAGAGAGACAGAAAGGTCTTTCTTCTGTTGGTTCACCCCCCCAAACGGCCACTAACGGCCTGCGCACTGCACTGATCTGAAGCCAGGAGCCAGGTGCTTCCTACTGGTCTCCCATGTGGTTGCAGGGTCCAAGAACTTGGGCCATCCTCCACTGCACTCCCGGGCCACAGCAGAGAGCTGGACTGGAAGAGGAGCAACCGGGACAGAATCCGACGCCCCGACCGGGACTAGAACCCAGAGTGCCGGCACTGCAGGGGGGGAGGATTAGCCTAGTGCTACACCCTAATGTTTTAAAGAGCAGTGAGCCATTCAAATAAAGGAGACTTTATCACTTTGCCATTCCCTTTTCCTTCCTGTCCAAGTTGCTACAGTCTTGTGTTTGAGGTTTCCCAGGATCGTTAAATAGTTTTTAGAAGAAGGCACTGTATGAGAGAAATTTTTGAGACTCTCAGGATATTGAGGGGAGTAGGCTGTGTATTTGTGGGTAGTTATTAAGCCATACAAAGATAACGGTTGGTTCAATGAGAACTTCTTAAAGCTAGCAGTCATTTCACAGAGTTAGTATGCCTCTATTGGTGATAGATTGGCTTTTATAACGAAATCATTGACTGGATTTATATTGTGATTGGCCATCCTCTTACTTGCCTCCAGTGTGCTTTATATCTAGTTTCATGGTGACATAAGGTCTGTTAAGGAAAGTCAACCTTTTGTCACTCCTGGTAGTTCTACTGTTACTAAGAATACTGTATCACAAGTTGTTCACAGAAACTTGTCCCTGAAAGACCTGGATCACTCCCAAACATAAAAGTGATGTCTTTGATTCTTCTAGATTCTGTTCCGCCATTTCAGCTCAAGGAAGATGAGCCCTCTCCAGGCAGAAATAGTTTCCCGGGATGCCCCCCGTCACATGACGGGTACTGCCTCCATGGTGGCGTGTGCATGTATATTGAAGCAGTAGACAACTATGCCTGCAAGTAAGTCACTGTCTTGCAGTCCATAACTTTTAAAAAACTTGTGAAATTTACTGTAAAGAAATTTTTCTACAATTAGATTTATCCTTAGGAAAATATACACACGCATAAATTGTGTGTTTGTGTACCACACACCCATGTGCATGCCACGTTGCATCCTCCTTATGTGTCACAACACCCTACCCTACACAACCACCAATGCTTAAATATAAATGTAAAGAATTGGTGGTTATTTTCGTTTTACTTAAATACCTTGACATTATTACTAGTAAAGTCTGGGGATTACACTTCTCTTTCTGGTTGGAAAACGTAGGTGTGTGAGAGAATTCTTTGAAACTGTGATTTATTTCCTGCCAAATATGTGGAAAGCATTCACAATCCACAGTATGTGTCTAGATTTACAAAAAGTTGTACATATTCACACTGGGTTTCTTGCCTTGGATTTTAAACACACACACACACACACACACACATTTCTTCACTTCACTTCCTAACAGTTGACTTTGCATTTTTGCTGTTTAGTGACAATTACCAGATTCTGCAACTCCCATTTTTGCTCTTTTTGGGCCAAGGCGTTTCCCCATGGGTAGTGTCAACCTGAAAAGGAGATCTGAGGGAGGTTTGAAATTATGGGGTGCCCTCACTGTGCTCACTTGGAAGACCTTTCCATGGAGACCTTAATAAGACTCGAACCGACAGTATCTGGATATGTATCAGATTTTTTCCCTGAATTAATTTCATATTTTCAAAGCCATAGGAAGAAACTGAGGGTAAAAATAAATAGGTCTCTGGGGGTTAGAGTCCTGACTCCTTGATACTTTGTGCCTGGAATAACGAGTCACAGAATAATCTGACTCTCACAAATTGAAGTTATAAGTAGAACAGATTTTATGATGTTATCAGTGATAATGAGCAGAATTATAGTCTAAACGAAAATTAGAGTAAGCTGTATTCTCCAAGTGTATGGCTTTGCATTAGAAACCATGTTCATATGACACAAGTCAGGGAAATGACCTGAAGAATTAGTAGGACCGACTGACTTCTAGTGGAATTCTGCTTTCACATACATATTTACGGGCTGTAGTTTTCTAGTCTAAGATAGATCTAATACTTACAATAGTTATCTTTAGCTTTAATATTAACAACCAGTTTTTTATCTGTTCATTGTTTCTCATCATCACAAACAATAAAATTTCAAAAACAAGTGTTATAGTTTATTAGGTCAGGATTGTTTTCTTCCTTGATACCTTAAATTTCAATTATAAAAATCAGTGTAATAAACAGAGGGTAGTGCAGGATTCTATACTGTATTTGGCACAGTCTTTTCATGCGGATCCGATAGAAGTGATTCCCTTAATGATTGATGAGCTCGTTAGCACATTGCTTTTCTTCCTGTCATTAAATCCTGATGAAAATATCATATGTACTTGCTAATATTTTAAACACAAATTGCTACAAAGTGATAATTAAACTGGAGGTTGCCTTCAAATCCAAGGACCATTAGTCTAAAGCAATATTTAAAATAACATCAGTTTACAATAGGGATCGTAACTTTGTTTTTGAATTGCGCATTTAATGCAAGTGATTTAATCAAGTAACTTTGTTTTTGAATTGCGCATTTAATGCAAGTGATTTAATCAAGTATTCAGTTCGTCCTTCCCCTGCCCTGGTGACCTCACCTTATGCCTTTTTAATTCCCAAACAACAAACCTCTAGGGAGTGCTTATGAGTCCAGGTTTTTTTTTTTTTTTTTTTTTTTTTTTAGAAATACATCCCAGGCACATTCTCTACAGAGTGGTCTAATCAGCTTGGAGGCAATGGACATTACCCTCAAATCCGTGGAACCCCAGACTTTCCCTGAGAGATGGAGGAATTAGGACCAGGAATTCTACATGCCCAATATGTTTCTTGGAGGTTTCCTGGTGTGCAGCATCTCAGCTGACTCCAGACTTCTCGAGCTCAGAAGAGGTCCTTGTACCATCTACTTTGGCTTTGAGTCAAACAGTTCTCTGGGAAGGTGTTTAGACCAAGATCCCCCAACCCATGTTGTGTGGTTGTATCAGTTTGAGAAATGCCGTATACTCTAGCCTTCAGTTCTTGATGCATGGTGCACTGTAACACATTAACAAGTCTTATTTACCATTATTTAGCTTACTTGACTATGGAAAGTCAAACACATTTGGTCAGGGAATCTTTGGTTTGATTTAACAGAACAACTAATTAACAATCCAAAGAACTTGAGGTTCTCTCCCATAATATACAGAGAGGCTGTACTGTTGCAGCTTGGCTTTGCTCCTGAGGACTCTTAGACACGTGACTGACCTACCCCACAAGATCTCTAAATTTCTGAGAGTATCAGAGGTGTGGTCCATTAACATCCAGCAGTTTAAGAATGGTTGCTAGGCATTGATGGGAAGTGGCCATAACCAAAGGTAGCTAGAATTAAGACAACGCCCAGGAAAGTCTTGAACAACCTGATAGTCCCATATGTCTACACTCAGATCCAGCCATCTCTTGCATGCTCACTTCTAGAAGAACAACTTTTCAGAGGTGAATAGCCCTGTAATCCGTTTTCAGAAGCAGCACAGTGTAGTAGAAAGAGCATGGGCTTTGACAATGAAGAATCATTTGAATGAAACCTGTTGTTCGTTAGCTGTGTGACCTTACTTACCTCCTCAAGCCTGTTTTCTCATCTGTAAAATGGGACTGTGACACTGAAGTGAACGTCCCTAGCATGGTGTCAGACACACAACATACATGACAAATGTTCATTCATTTTCCTGCTTCCTCCAAAACTCCCATGACAAGCTAACGGAACTGGGACTTAAACCCGGATCTTCTGGAGCTTTTCCAGTGTTTTCTCTGTGCTGCTGCTTCTCCCACAGGAGCTGGTATCCATTCTCTGTACTCGTTCCGTCAAGTCCTTTTGGAATAAGCAGGGGATCTAGATGGACAGATAGCTGTTTCAGGGCCAGGGAATTCCTGATAAGCAAGCACCGCAAAGTGTTAATATGGTGTTTCTAGAGTCAGTGCTTTCGCAAAGAATCACAGGACACAATTGTCAACCAACTTCCTGGTAGTTTTTAGAAATGAGCATTCCCAGTAGATGGCAGCATTGTTTCATTGACTTTAAAGGTTCAACAATAAATCGGTCCCTAACAATTCAAGTATCAATGTCATTTATTAGACGGCTGAGTGTTTGTACGTGAATGCCCCTTTTTCCTCCATAGAGTTTTCCCTGCTTTGAAGAAAACTGCAAAATGCCTGTGTCACCACTGAGACCTCTTTCGCCTGGCCAGTAGTGATAAGTGGGAAAAGTCCTTCTTTCACAGGCTGGGTTGTGCTTCCTGTTCAGGGACCTGACAACATTCTTCTTGCACAGCCTGGTTTTGAGTGAGAGACTCTGCTCTCAAGATTTTTCTTTCCTTTGACCTACTGTTTTTTTTTTTTTTTTTTCCCAAAAAAAAAAAAAAAGATCTATTTGTTTATTTGAAAGGCAGAGTTAAAGAGAGGCACAGGCAGAGAGAGAGAGAAAAAGAGGGGAGAGGGGAGGGGAGGGGGGAGAGAGAGAGAGAGAGAGAGAGAAAGGAGGTCTTCCATCTGCTGTTCATGCCCCAGATGGCTACCTGCACTGATCCAAAGCCAGAAGCCAGGAGCTTCTTCTGGTTCTCCCATATGGGTACAGGGGCCCAAGCACTTGGGCCATCTTCTACTGCTTTCCCAGGCCATAGCAGAGAGCTAGGTTGGAAGTAGAGCAGCCGGGACTTGAACCAGTGCCCATATGGGATGCTGGCACTGCAGGTGATGGCTTTACCTGTTATGCCACAGCACCAACCCCTTGACCTATTCTTAACTGTAAACATTTGCTTCCTGAATTCCCTGGGCTCTTAGGGCAGAATCACTTTGTTGGTTTTAAAAGGTAGCGGCTCCTTAGGAGTTTTAGCCTAGCAGAAATTGATCTTTAATCAATGTCTGGTAATGCCTTGTAGAGGCAGTATGCAAATAGTCCCCCTTCCCTCCCAGTGTAAATAGACCGAAGTGGGAAGACCATGCCACAGGAACTTGTAAATCACACTGCTTTCAACTGATCCCTGATGGACTTTTCCATGTACTTCCATAGAGCTGAGTCTGAAAATGCCAAGGTTGAAAGATGCCTGAGTCTGAAAAATATCAAGTGTGTTTGACCAGCAGTCTGATGACCTGTGTTTGTGTGTTGTCACAGCTGTGTGGTTGGCTACGTCGGGGAGCGCTGTCAGCATCGAGACTTGAAGTGGTGGGAACTGCGCCACACTGGCCGTGGACGGCAGCGGGACATCACTGTGGTGGCTGTCTGTGTGGTGGTGCTGGTCCTACTGCTCCTCCTGGGCCTGTGGGGGGCTCACTCCTACAGGTGACCCTTTCTTTCTGTTGGTACATTAAACCCCTCTCTAGGGGAACACCTGCCTCCTTGAGATGAACTTCTGTGCCCTTACTACATTTAAAAAGATGAATAGGAGCAGGCGTTTGGGTCAGTGGTTCAGATGCCCGCATCTCGTATTGGAGTACCTGGATTTGAGTCCTGCCTGTGGCTCTCCATTCCAGCTTCTTGGAGGCAGCAGGTGATGGCTCAAGTGATTGGATCTCTGCCACCCACGTGGGAGTCCCGGATTGAATTCCTGGATCCTGGCAAAGCCCCAGCCATTGTGGGTGTTTAGGGAGTGAACCAGAGGTTAGACTAGGAGTTTCTCTCTCTCTCTCTCTCTGCTTTTCAAATAAATAAATAATACTAAATTTTTAAAAGTGCAAAAATAGCTTTTTAAAAAAGACCTAAGCTATCCTTGCACTAATTTATTAGTGCTTTTATTTCCCTGTTCTAATCTTTTCTATGCACCTGTGTGGTAAATGTGGTTGTTAGTTAACATAATGCATCGTTGCATTCTACTTTCTTGTTTTAGCATTTCTTACTGTTCCACTCCTAATCAGCATAACTGTATTCTTTTCATGGTTACTTTCTGTTGATTTCTGACAAGAAAATCTTAGAGAAAATTTTAAAGAAAATCATTATTTTCTCCAACTTAAAAGGAAGTTTCTGATCCTTGAATTTTATGTTTTCAGTCATTTCAAGTTATCAGTTAAAAGTTGTAGAACAATAACATTTTTATGTTTAATTTTTTAAATAACTCAACATTAGGGTAATAGTATGGATATCACACTATTTTGCCTATTTTCCATTTTCTTAAGAAGTAGGATAGTGTTCTCTACTTATCAATATTAAAAAGACATTTAAAAAAAGATTTATTTATTTTATTTGAAAGAGAGAGTTACAGAGAGAGAGAGAGAGAGAGAGAGAGAGAGAGAGAGGTCTTTCATCCGCTGGTTCACTCCCCAGATGGCCACAACGGCCGGAGCTGAGCCGATCCGAAGCCAGGAGCCAGCAACTTCTTCCTGGTCTCTCACATGTGTGCAGGGGCCATCTTCCACTGTTTTCCCAGGCCACAACAGAGAGCGGGATTGGAAGTGGAGCAGCTGGGACTCAAAGCAGCACCCCTGTGGGATGTCGACACTGCAGGCGGTGACTTTACCCACTACCCCACAGTGCTAGATCCAAAAAACATTTTATCTACTCTTATAGTACAAAATCTGAGAGTCGTAAAATTTCTGGGCTGTAGGGGACTTTATAGAATTATCTAGTTCAGTCTCATCATCCTATGGCTGAAGAACCTATGACCCACATTACTAAGTATGCCGCAGTTCTCTGGGAATGTACAGAATACCCCCTACCTGCAGATGAAAATACAAGCACGTTTACAGGTGCTACACAACCACTCAAGTGGCAGCAGTCCTGTACTCTGGAAAATCCAACATATCAGCCAAGCTGTACTTGTCTGAAATCCTGCTATATCCTGATGTAGTGGTTAAGAGCCTGAGCTCTGGAATCAGAGTGCACAGGTTCAAATCCTACTTGGTGTCTAAATGCCATCAGACATGTTTCTTATCCTCTGTATTCATTAGTTTCTTTTGCTATTAAAGAGGGATGAGAAAAGTACTGAGATAAGTTGAGTTCATCTCAGTAAAAGGTTTAGTGTAGGTCTGTCATGTAGTATTTAACAAAAGTCATCTGTTGTTATGACTACGATTTTCTATGAACTGTAATCTTTCCAAAATGTGTCATATACTCCAAGCTCTCTTTTGCTGCCTCCTGAGAGACTGTATTCTCATGCACAAACTTAAAAATTTAATTTAGTGGTCTATCATTAACAATTAGTTTTTTTTTAGCCTGGCTTTCAGTATGTTAGATATTTGTATAAAGAATATTAAAAAAAGAATATTGAATAATTAGTGATTGATCCCATTGTTCAGAATGCCAAATGAAAGGTAGATGCTTGGCAAATCGTGTGGAAACACATGGGAGCAATACATTTAAGTTTATGTGTATAAAATTATTAATATAGACATAAATTATAGCATTAAATATTACAAAATTTTGATGTGTTCTATTGAAATTTTTCAGAGATCTGGTTTGAAAGGGAATGGTGAGTTGTGAGATTTTTGTCTTGAATTTCAAAGACCTTCTCTTCAGAAGGATGACTATAGGCATCACATACCAGTAGGAACATCTTCATGTTCTTACTACCATATGGCAAAAATTGACTGTGACTAGCATTATTTCTTCAAAAAGAAAGCTCAGCAGAACCCTTTCTTTTTGCTGAAATGCAATCAGAATAGTAAAACTGCTTATAAGTGAATCTGCAGTATGTTTTTTTCTTTAAAGATATATTTATTTGGAAGGCAGAGAGACAGAGAGAGAGGGAAAGATAGATCTTCCATCTGCTGGTTCACTCCCCAGATGGCTGCAGTGGCCAGGGCTGGGCCAGGGTAAGCCAGGAGCTGGTGGCTCCATCCAGGTTTCCCACACGGGTGGCAGGGGCCCAAATATTTGGGCTTTCCCAGGTACATTAGCAGGAAGCTGGATTGGAAGCAGAGCAGCCAGCTTGATCAGGCATTCCAGTATGAACCTGCCACGCCACAATACTGGCCCCCATCTAAAGTATCTTCCCTAACAATTCTTACCCTACTGGAAAGTTTCAGCTATGTGTTTGATTACCTTTGCATGGAGGATTGCTTGTTTCTGACAAGGTAGTTGTTCCTGACCATCACTGAGTGAAGAGAGTGTTTTGAGATTGTCTCAAATTTTGGCTTTATTGCAGGACTCAGAAGCTGTTATTGAAGCATCCAAAGAATCCTTATGAAGAGTCGAGCAGAAATGTGAGCAACAGCAGGCCTACTGATGGCGAGGCTGGGATATCTTCTTGCCCTCAACCTTGGGTAATGCATCCAAAGTAGATGAACCAAGGAACTGACTTGCTATTAACCTGAATCCATTTTTTCTCATTCTTCACTGAGTAACAGTAACTGGAATCTACTATAGCCTCCAACTGGTAACAGTATTGGCCAGCATATCAGCTGGGGAGGTCCTAGTTGGGAGGATGGGGGAACCATGTCTTTAAGGGCATCAGACAAGTGAAAGTAGCACCATAATTTAATGGTGCAAGAAATTTATGGATTTTTTCCCCTGTTACCAGCTTCTTCCTAAAACTTAGATTTTTGTATTTTATATGAAGAGTTTTTCCCAACTCCTATTCTCAGGTGAATGTCTTAAAAGCCAATGCAGATGAATGTCTTAAAAATATATAACACTTCTGATTTTCTTAATATAATCCTTCCTTGGTATCTGAGGGGGACTGGTTCCAGGACCTCTCCAATTTGTTGATACCAAAGTCCTTGAATGCTCCAGTACCTTACATAAAATGGCATAGTACTACATATAATTCATTCCTATCCTCCTCAATATACTTTAAATCAACTGTAGATTATATATAATACCTCATACATTGTCAATGATAGGAAAATTGTTGTGCTTGTTTTCTAGGGAGTAATGATAAGAAAAAGAAGTCTATATTTGTTCAATACAGATATAACCCTCATAGACCTAACTACATTTTCTGTTCGTAGTTGAATCTATGGACACAAAACCCATGGATATTAAGGGTTGACTTTTCTCACATACATTTTCAGTCCTTAACCTCCTATAGTAAAATAGTTATTAGATTCAGCAAATAAAAATGCAGAGTTCTTTCTTAAATTAATAGTTATAATGAAATTTCAAGTTTAAATTCGAATTCAGATTTAACTGGCTTTTCTGTATTTTATCTGGGAAACTTTTTTTTTTTTAAAGTTCAGTGGATGGAGAAAGTCAAAATGCTTCATAGCTCACTCTTCAGTAACTGATAATGGAACACTAGGGGGCAGACTTGGGACAAGCTAAGTTCTCTTGAAATTCTTAAGGGAATTTCTATTTCCAGAACTCTGTCAGAGAGGTAACTTGATTGATTTATTGTGTGGTATTGGTATTGTCTATGGTATCTATTGTGGAAGAGACCTGAATATCTGACAGATCCATGGGGAACTGAAACCTTAAGAAGAGTTACTGGGGAGGGGTTAAAGAGGGGCAAAGGCAGTGTTTGGGGTCCTTCTGGAATCACTTCACCCACTCCTAGGAACCCTACCAGAGAATAGCTTTCCTGCTGGTGTGCTTCTGACTAACAAGCGATTATATGTTCTTACCTGTTACAGGCATTTGGTGTTAACTTATTTTTTGGTTGAATTTGAGTATAGAAGTAAAATAAGAAGTGTGAGTTCTAGCCTTTTCCTCTCAAAAATTGCCACCCTCCTCTTCAGCAAATCCTTTAACCTCTGCATATCTCTGCTGCCTCTTCAGCACAACAAAGGCTGTGGATCAGATGATTTCTAAGATCCTTTCTTTCTCTGTAAATTCTTAAGTGTGTGTTTTAAATAGCTATAGAATGTGCTGTCTCCACCGAGGCCTCCTAACTTTGTGGACTTCCAAATTACCCAGGTTGCATGTGTTAGTCTACAAGGTGTTTAATTCCAGCGTGGTTAGCAGATTTAACTCATCTCAGCTTGTCGGAACTGTTAGAAGACCCCGGGCTGCTGAGCTTCACACTCCCAGCCATCCTAACCATCATGCACAGCGGCTGCTGCAGCAGAGCGCAACAAGAGTAGGCCAGAGCTGAGCACCCAGACTGGGAAGGGAAGCAGCAGAAACAAAGCTGGCCCTGGCAGCTGCCTTCCCCACCCCAGCCCAGCATTGTGAGAGCCGTGTTCTTCTGGCAGACAGTAACATGACTGGACAATTTGCAGTGCAGAGGGCTGGATTTTGACTTGAGCTGGAAATAACGGCCATGTGCCCTTAAGCCGTGGGTCTTGCATTGATTTTGCCATGTGGTGCTGCAGGGAGGCCTATAATGAGGAGGAGATGTGAAAGGTGATTAATGTGGAAAATCAGAAAATGAAAACATGTTCATGGGATTCACCTTTCAATTACAAATGTTTCCCTCCCTCTCTCCTAATCCACTCATCCCGTCCTACACTTTGCTCAAGGAGAATCGTAGGCAAAGGGATTTTTTTTCTCTTTTCTTTTCCTTGTGTTGTTTCTGAGTTGTGGGCTCCTTCTTGTGCAGAGCTCATTTCTGAATCAAATTCTGAATTTGGCTCCATCAGCCAAAACTGTGGGGCAGTCCTGTTGCTGGGTTACTGATTGACAAGGAAGGACCTCACCAAACTGTGTCCTTTATCCTGGAGCATGGAGTCCTTTCTTTACATTTATCACTGATTATGTTTATACCTAATATCTCTAGGGTGAGTGTGAGCTAGTGAACTGTGGTCAGCCTGCCCAATCAATTTTGGACATAGAAATGATGACAAAAATAATCACTTTGTTGACCAAAGAGAAATAATGTTATTTTCTAGGGCTCCCTTTCAGAATTCTGCTTCCAGAGCTGTTCAACCACGAGAAAGCAAGTGGCGGATGCCTACAAAATAGTGATTGTACTATCAGCGCCCTCTGAGTGCTTATTCATGGTCAGATTATTCAGAACTTGGTGGTACATGGAAATGAGTCTTGTTACCTAAAATATATACATATATTTTTAAAGCCGTAGCATACATGCATATGAAATATTATTTTAAATGTCTGGTTGTTTAAAAAATTATTTTTATTTATTTGAAAGGCACAGTTAGAGAGAGAGTGAAGGAGAGAGAGAGAGAGAGACAGAGAGAGCAAGAGCACTTCCATCTCCTGGTTCACTCCCAAAATGGCTGCAACAGCTGTAGCTGGTCCAATCTGAAGTCAGGAGCTTCTTCTGGGTCTCCCACGTGGGTGCAGGGCACCAAGCTCTTTGGGCATCTTCTGCTGCTTTCCCAGACACGTTAGCAGGGAGCTGGATTGGAAGTAGAGCAGCCAGGACTTGAACCAGTGTCCATTTAGGATGCTGGCCTCACAGGAGGTGGCTTTATTCATTATGCCACAACACTGGCCCCAAAATGTCTGGTTTATGGGCAATGCTTAGAATGCTTATGGTGTCTTGGGTTGTTTAGAGTACAACAGGAATCCCCAGGGATCCATGACCCAAAAGTTGAGATTCCAGAATTAGAAGCAGTTCTTTAGTAAAGATACTGATAGTGTCTAGTTGCTTTAATAGAATATAATGTAAACTTCTTAACTGAAAATGGAATCTCTTATTAGCCGAAGAGACACATTTGACAGGGCCTTTCCTCTAACAACTTCCACAAGATGAACATGATAAAACTGTAGTTTTTTATGTAACATATATTGAGATAATTGGTGAAGTATAACAATATCCTTCCTTTCTCTTTTGTTTTCTGCAGTTTGTCATTGTAAAAGAACAAGACATCGGCAATGGGAGTCAGCCTGTGGTGAGCCAGGATGGCCAGGCAGCAGATGCTGGGCACTTTTCCTCCCTGAGGCCTGGTGAGTGGTTATCTTTACCTAGATCCTGAATGTTTTCCAGTGAAAAGTCTTATGTAACTAGAAAAGCAATAGTTAAATTGTATAAGCTATGGGAGCAGCTGGGCTGTATTGGAATGCCATAGAGCTTTAGAAAAATAGATTTGGAGTGGATTTATGTCTTATATGAGGTTACCATGTTGACTCAAAACTCCAGTCCTATAGCAATCTTCTGTGTCACTTTGAGCACCGAGTGACTCTTTATTTTGAATTAGATAAGGTTTTGAGATCATTCTGCGGGCTTAGGGGTTCTATACTGGCAGCTTTAAGTGTGGTTCTGGTGAAATTGTAAATAGCTCTAAGAAAACATGTTCCGTGTTCTAGCAGGAAGGGTGCCTGTGAATTTAAGTTGTTCTGGGAATTGATCTGGGATTCCCGACTATTCAGGTCTTCTCAGAGACTAGGCCTTAGCCGGACTCCTAGCTATCTGTGAAGTCCAGCCAAGCCACTCAGGGAGAGACCATAAAATCTGCCTAGATTCTCAGACTGTTCTGGAACTCGGTCTTCTACAGGTAGAAATGGAGTTAGATAACCTTTGACGTAATACCTTTGCCAAGAGTTGGGTTATGATAAACCTCTTGGGTTGGTTCTCAGATATCATAGTTTTATTTCACAACCCAGAGGATATTTTTGAACATGGTTTGTATCAGAAACCTTTGGTATGATTTAGATAAACTTTGAGCCAACAAAAACAGTTCCTCTGCTAAAGATGGGAGCTAATTAAATGTCAACTCCACTTCTATTTTCTGATATTTATCATTCATCAATGTGATTATTACCACCTCTTCTCCGATTTCTTTGTAGACAGAACATGGGCTTCTTGTGTTGCAAAATTCATTCTAAACTCCTCTCTCATAAATAAGTTACCATGCAATCCAAAATATTGAATTCAATAGAATTTTATTGCCTAGTATGAGAGAGGCCTGAATATTAGGGTCTACTTAAGGATTAAATATATGTGTGTATGTATATTTATATAGTTTCCTAAATAATAAGGATTAATATATAACTATATATATATATAAAACTTTTTCCTGAATAATGAAACATTCAACACTTTGAAAAGTTGCCGATGGTGGTGGTGTTAATGGTAGTACTATTAGAATGCAACAGCAGGGCCTGTGTTTTGGTGCAACAGATTAAGTCTCTGCCTGTAATGCTGGTATCCCATATGGTCACTGGTTCAAGTCCTAGCTGCTTCACTTCTGATCAGGCTCCCTACTCATGTTCCTGAGAAAGCGAGGAAAGATGTCCAAGTGCTGGGGCCCCTAAACCAAACTGGGAGACTGGATGGAGTTTGTCATTTCTGGCTTCAGCCTCGCCCAGTCCCAGCCACTGCAGCCATTTGGGGAGTGAACTAGTGGATGAAAGCTCTCTCTCTCTCTCTCTCTCTCTCCAACTCTGCAAACAAAAAAGCTGTGTGCACATTAATGTTTATTGCACCTCAATTCACAATAGCTAAGACCTGGAACCAATCCAAATGCCCATCAACAGTAGACTGGATAAAGAAATTATGGGACATGTACTCTATAGAATACTATACAGCAGTCAAAAACAATGAAACCCGGTCATTTGCAACAAGATGGAGGAATCTGGAAAACATTATGCTGAGTGAATTAAGCCAGTCCCAAAGGGACAAATATCATATGTTCTCCCTGATCAGCGACAACTAACTGAGCACCAAAGGGGAAACCTGTTGAAGTGAAATGGACACTATGAGAAATAGTGACTTGATCAGCTCTTGTCCTGATGGTTGACGTACAATGTAATACTTTATCCATTTTAGTATTTTTTTTGTTCTGGTATCATTGGTTGAACTCTGTAATTAACACACAATTATTCTTAGGTGTTTAAATTTTAACTGAAAAGTTATCCCTGTTAGGAATTTGGAAAACATTATGCTGAGTGAAATAAGCCAGTCCCAAAGGGACAAATATCATATGTTCTCCCTGATCAGTGACAACTAACCGAGAATCAAAAAGGAAACCCGTTAAAGTGAAATGAACACTATGAGAAATGGTGACTTGATCAGCCCTTGCCCTGACTGTTGATGAACAACTTAATACGTTATCCCTCTTAGTATTTTTTTGTTTGTTCTACTTAATACTTTTGGTTGAATACTGTAATCAATACACAGTTATTCTTAAGTGTTGAAACTTAACTGAAAAGTGATCGCTGTTAAATATAAGAATGGGAATAAGAGAGGGAAGAGATGTGCAATTCGGGACATGCTCAAGCTGACTTGCCCCAAACAGTAGAGGTAGAAACATACCAGGGGATTCCAATTCAATCCCATCAAGGTGGCATGTACCAATGCCATCTCACTAGTCCAAGTGATCAATTTCAGTTCACAATTGATCAGAATGATAGGACTAAGAGTCAAAGGGATCACATAAACAAGACTAGTGTCTGCAAAAACTAACCAATAGAATAAAAAAGGGAGAGAACGATCCAACATGGGAAGTGGTATACACAGCAGACTCATAGAATGGCAGATGTCCTAAACAGCACTCTGGCCTCAGAATCAGCCCTTAAGGCATGTGGATCCGGCTGAAAAGCCCATGAGAGTATTTCAGGCATGGAAAGCCAAGACACTCTGGCAAAAAAAAAAAAAAAAAACAACCTAAATGAAAGATCTCTGTGAGTGAGTTCCCAGTGGAAAGAACAGGTCTTCAAAGAAGGAGGTACCTTCCTCTGAAGGGAGGAGAGAACTTCCACTTTGACTATGACCTTGTCTAAATATGATCAGAGTCGGTGAACTCAAAAGGCCTCCATAGCCTTGGCAACTCATGACAAGAGCCTAGGGTGATTACTGATGCCATAAACAATAGTGTCGATTTGTTAAGTCAACAACAGGAGTCACTGTGCACTTACTACTCATGTAGGATCTCTGTCCTTAATGTGCTGTACATTGTGATTTAATGCTATAACTAGTACTCACAGTATTGTTCACTTTGTGTTTCTATGTGTGTGCAAACTGTTGAAATTAATATATGCTAAACTGATCTTCTGTATATAAAGAGAATTGAAAATGGAAAAAAAGTGCTAGAATAGCTTGTAGTTACATACTACTTTACCTTGAGCAACTGAAAGCACATAAGTCTTATAAAGATAATCCACTTTAGAGGTATATATAATTTTGCAAGTTAATCAATAGCACAGTGGTTTCTGTGTAAGATTATAGTTAAACTCAGAAAATAACTAAGGACTTATGATAGTCGGCCAAGTATTCATGAAGAGAATAGAATGTTTATCTCTCTCTCTCCCTCCCTTCCTTCCTTTTTTCCTTCCTTCTCACTCTACTGCAAACAATTTGATGCTCTCTGTAGGCCATTCTTATGAGTATACTTCAAAGATGTTGTGGAAAATGGAATTAAAAGATACATTTATTTGGGCATAAAAATAATTTGAAATCTATGTGTAGTTTTTTTCATAATTAGCATTTATAATGAACTTTTTGGAGCCCTCTCATGTATCTGCCTCCGGACAAGTGATCACATCCCCATCAGGTCCTGTATGCTAGAAATGCCTGGGGTGAAAGTACAGGTAGAGATTGGGTGGGGAAGTAGAATGCGGAATAAAATAAAATGCAAGTTTGGTTTTGAGCCAATAGCTTTTTTGCTCTTGGAAAGTATGTTAGAACAAAGTGGTGGTGGTAGATCCATAGAACCATCATAACTGAGCTCTGCTACCATCGACTGGTACAGGAAAGGGGAGAGCACCCCACTCAGGGCTGAGGATTATGCTAGGGAACCGGAATACAAGTGCAGGTGTGTTTAAAGAGTTATTCATTTATTTGAAAGGCAGAACAACAAAGAGGGAGAGAGAGAGAAGGAGAAATCTGGCCGGCGCCACGGCTCACTAGGCTAATCCTCCACCTGCGGCGCTGGCATGTCGCTCCCCCTCTTCGCGGAGGAACGACACAGGACCCTGCGCTGTTCTTTCGTCTGCTCGGCCCTCCCCGGGTTTGCTGCTGGTTCTTCCCGGGTTGGCTACTCTCCCTTCCACCTCCGTGGAAGGGCAGTTCCCCCTGGCCGCATTCCCCACTTCCGCAGGGGAGCGGCACACCGCCGGCCGGCTCTTTCGGGGGCTGCACGGGTTCCCTTAGATGTTCCCCATAGATGTTCCCGGTGCATGCCGTCTCTCTCCTCCTTTATAGTCCTCCTCCGCCAATCCCAACTCGGCTGAGTACGCTGCTCTCCAATCAGGAGCAAGTCCTACAGTTAATTGGTTGAACTGGAGGCAGCTGTGCGGAAGCTGTTTACTTCTCTCCCAGCGCCATATTGTGGGAGAGCAGATGCATAGAATAAGTCTTAATTCGAGTAACTTAGTCTAGTCCGGATTGCTCCCCACAGATCCCCCTTTCTTTTTATTTTTTGGCGTTGATACGCGCCTGTCTTCGGTGTCCCGCAGCACACACTCTGCTGTACTTGCTAGAGTTGCCACAGGCTCTTACAAGTCCTATCCATCAGGCAAACCGAATCCGGGTCCTCTCTTCGCCATGTTGTGAGGAGGTTTTTAGGCGCTGATGCGTGCCTGTGTTCGGTGCCCTGCAGCGCATACTCTGCTCTGCTAGAACTGCCTGCAGGTGTTTACAAAACCTATCAGGCAAACCGAATCCAAGCCTTCTCATTGCCGTATTGTGGGGGAGACTTATTAGTGTTGGTTTGTGCCTATCTTCGGTGACCTGCAGCTCATACTCTGGTCGAGCTTTGCTGGCGCTTACCGCCTTAAATCAGGCAGACCGAATCCAAGCCTCCTAATTGTTGCATTGTGGGGAAGCCTTATTTTTCTCTATTTCTCTATCTCCGGGCATTTCTATTTCTCCCATTTTACTTCTGTCTGCCAGCATTCCTATTTCTCTCACTTTACTTCTAAACTTCTGTTTCTCTTATCCCCGCAGCTTTCCGGCACCTCGCCCCGCCGGCGGGTTCCCGGCTCTGCGCCGCTTCAGCCCGCGCGCCTCTCTCATCTGCGCAGCTTCCCGGCTTTGCGCGCTCCGCGGTCTCCACGCTTAACCCTTTCGCGTCTGAACCACGGCCTACGCCAGCGTTCCCTATCTACTCACGCCCCGTGCTCTCTCTGCACGCGGCGGCTTCCGCGAGTAACACAGCGTAGCTTGCGTCTCCGCCACTAGGATTCAATCTAAGTTCCCCGGGCTAGCCTGGCGAATTCAACCCAGCGTACGTCTCCGCCCCACGATTTGGCTTCCCGTCCTTTGCTCCCCGGGCTAATCAGACGGATCCCAATCTGGCTTACGTCTCAGCTTCTGGTTTCAACTTTTCGCCCCCTATTCCCGGGCTAACTTGAGAACCCCAAAGTGGCTTTCGTTTCCGCCTCGGCCTGCCCCCCGCGGCTTCAATTTCCCTAACATTTTTCTCTACCCGGTATGTTTCCCCAAGCTTTCCTCCAACGATATTCCTCCCTCATTTCTCCTGGCCTCTCCCCACAGTCCGCGTCCGAGTCTGTTTGTTCTAGCTTTCACTTTCGCTTTCGACCTTAGAGATTTCTCCCAGCTTCCCCCCGTAGTCCGTAGTCCGTATCTGAGTCTATGCCTAGGCTTTCAATAGCTTCTTCCGGCACCTTTTTCGGCCGGCTTTTCCCTAGGCTGTTTGCTAGTCTCTCTCTTCGATATTTTCCCAATTCTTCCCGTTTCTTTCCCTCCTAAGTTTGCTATCCGAGCTAGGTTTCCTATCCGAGTCACGGCACCATTATGTCGCTCCCCCTCTTCGTGGAGGAACGACACTAAGCCCTGCCTAGGCTTCATATCCGAGTCACGGCACCATTATGTCGCTCCCCCTCTTCGTGGAGGAACGACACTAAGCCCTGCCTAGGCTTCATATCCGAGTCACGGCACCATTATGTCGCTCCCCCTCTTCGCGGAGGAACGACACAGGACCCTGCGCTGTTCTTTCGTCTGCTCGGCCCTCCCCGGGTTTGCTGCTGGTTCTTCCCGGGTTGGCTACTCTCCCTTCCACCTCCGTGGAAGGGCAGTTCCCCCTGGCCGCATTCCCCACTTCCGCAGGGGAGCGGCACACCGCCGGCCGGCTCTTTCGGGGGCTGCACGGGTTCCCTTAGATGTTCCCCATAGATGTTCCCGGTGCATGCCGTCTCTCTCCTCCTTTATAGTCCTCCTCCGCCAATCCCAACTCGGCTGAGTACGCTGCTCTCCAATCAGGAGCAAGTCCTACAGTTAATTGGTTGAACTGGAGGCAGCTGTGCGGAAGCTGTTTACTTCTCTCCCAGCGCCATATTGTGGGAGAGCAGATGCATAGAATAAGTCTTAATTCGAGTAACTTAGTCTAGTCCGGATTGCTCCCCACACTGGCACACCAGGTTTTAGTCCCAGTTGGGGGGCTGGTTCTGTCCCGGTTGCTCCTCTTCCAGTCCAGCTCTCTGCTGTGGCCCGGGAAGGCAGTGGAGGATGGCCCAAGTGCTTGGGCCCTGCATCCCATGGGAGACCAGGAGGAAGCACCTGACTCCTGGCTTCGGATCTGTGCAGTGTGCCGGCCATGGCAGCCATTTTGGGGGTGAACCAACGGAAAGAAGACCTTTCTCTTTTTCTCTCTCTCTCTCTCACTAACTCTGCCTGTCAAAAAAAAAAAAAAAAAAAAAAAAAGAAGAAGAAGAAGGAGAAATCTTTCATCTGCTGGTTCACTCCCCAAATAGCCACAATAGCCAGGTTTGGGCCATGCTGAATCCAGGGGCCAGTAATGCCTTCCTTGTCTCCCACATGATTGGCAGGTGCCCAAGCACTTGGGCCATCTTCTGCTGCCTTACCAGGGGGCATTGGCAGGAAACTGGATCAGAAGTGGAACAGCAAAGACTCAAACCAGAACTTGGATATGGGTTACTGGTGTTGCAAACAATGGTATAACCCACTATATCACTACCCTGGCTCCCACAAATGCATTTAAAACTAGAGTTCTGTTCTTAAGTCACCTATGGTTCAGGTGGGAAGATAGGAGTTACATAGGGAAAGATAAAGAGTCTTGTCAGATAGTGTAGTTCTTTGAATCATCTCTACCAGTCAAGACTAATTTGAATTTTTTAAAAATTGGGTTTAGAATAGTTTGAAAATGGGTTGCTTTTGTGTCTTTCATTCCAGACCTATTCTCTAACCACCACTATTAGGATCTTTCTTGCTGGTCACGGTGAATGATGTGAATGCTCAATTTCCTTTTTTCTCTTGTATAGAGTCCCTGCAAATGACTCCATGGAGGAAGGAGCCCCAGATACATGGAGTAGGCATGGAGCAAGACCACTCGACTCCACCATCAAGTGATAAGGGGTCTGGCCCCCAGCTAATGGAGCGAAGCTTTCATCGACCATCTTACGGGGCACAGCCTCTTGCTGTGGGAATTGAAAAGCCCCATTTTCTCTTGTCTGCTAATCCATCATAGCAGCAAAGGGCCCCAGATTCCCCACACCAAATTGAGCCAAATCACTGAGAACTGGAATTAAAAGGAAGGTCAAAAGGAACAAAACATGTCTATGGACTACATGATTCCTTTCAAAAGGTAGAGGAAAACTCCAGATTTTGGTTCCTTAATCTCTACAATAGATCACCTGGAGACAGATGTGTAGTTAGGCTTTTGTTTCTTCCTTCAAGCAATCCCACTGCAGGTATTCAAATAAAAGTAACCGGGAGAACCACTCGGTAACTCATTAGTAGCCAAAATGGGGAATGCTAGTGCTTCGTAACTGTGTTGTCTTCAACAGTCAAGAGATAGATTTTTTTTTTCCTTCCTGCAGCCTCAGAAGAAATGTGGAGTTAGAACAGGAAATCACAGTGGTTTGGTCAGTCATAAAGTCCGTTTTTGATCTGTACAGAACATTTAACTCCATTTGATGAAATTGTTGGATTATTATAATTACTGTTAAGATACTTCGTGAGCTTTAACTGCACATTGATGTGGTCCATGCTAGTAATTTTGCAGAACGAATTGTGATTAAATCAATGAAGAATCTGATAACTTAGAACCTGATTTCTTCAGAATTAAGTGGCCTTTTTTTCCTATTTTATAATCTTTGAAAAGATTTAATTTTGAAAACATTGTGTTTCATAGTTATTCCTGTCCTCCCCCCAACTGCATTTTCCCCAATGACAATGCTAAATTCTCTTTTGGTGTGTTTCTGTGGAATTTTTACCTGTCTCCTAATATATGAAATTGTAAGCAAATTGCTGATTTATTTTTTTATCTTGGATTGCAGTAATTTCTTTAATTATTAAGATAAAGTCAACATAAAACATAAACATTTTATTGTATACTTGGTTAAGCAATTATAATCCAAAGAGGTGTCAAACTTAAACCAAAATAATCTGTCAGGCTTGCTATTGTAATTTTTTTTCAATTGAAAATTATAGCTTCATAAAGTAAAATTTCACCTGGTGTTTTAATTCAGTATTTTTCTTGCAGCAAAGGCATTGCTTCTACAGATAACACAACTTGCCAATTTCATAATTTTGGATTGTTTGAGACTTGGGATTGCCTTGTTTATACATTAAATAGTCCCTTTGCTTGCCTTTATCTTTTACTTTTCCTCAACTCCTTGGACTCTGGTTACATAAGAAAACAAAATAAAAAGGAATTGAAGCACATGGTATCTAGTGAATGCTTTATAGAAATGGCGCTAAAGATTTGGCAGTGGCAATGGGGATGATGACTTGAGGTTTATGGCTGTTAAATCAGTGGGCCAGCTAACTTAGACTTTTCTTTATTCTGTTTTGCTATAATTGATAGTTGATATCTTGGAAGATTAGAAGACCTGTCTTTTATTTCTGGTGAGTGAACTAAAACTCTAAGGGTTTAGATTACATTTTAGTGTTTTAGCACGTCTTTCTCTTAGGATTTTGAAAATCACCACATAAATTATATGAGACCACAAGAACTCATAATGTACCATTATCTTTGAACCAGAAATCCCCTGTGTCCTTTGAGCTTTTTGATGACTGGGACACCATAGATAGTGGCACCGTGTTAAGTCCTTGCTCAGACTATCCCACTAGCTCCCTGGTCAGATTGAAGGAAAAAGACATCTTGTAGTCTTTAGTTGACAAGTCACCATGAAGAGGCATCTCCCCTTCATACAACTTCACCTCTCTATCAGAAATGTTTTCCTTTTTTAAAAGTCTAGGTTTACAAAGAACATTTTCAACTAAGGTATTTGATTTCCATGTTTTCCAGACTGATCATGTTTCCCAACTCTCAGGGCTCTTGTGCACGATGCCTGATCGAAATTCTCTTTGACTAAATGTCACCTTCTACATAGAAAAATGAGCATTCTTCCCTCTTTTCTAGAACCCAATGAAAGCTTTGAACATTGAATTCTTTTGAAATCATGTGATTTCACCTCTGCCCATTAACCTTGATTTTCAACTGATGTAGTTTTCATGTGAATAAATGATTATTGTGTGATAATTGAAAATGTGATAGCAGCAGTAAATAATAAATTCTTTAAAAATCTTATAGCTAGGGGCTGGCATTGTGGCGTAGCAGGTAAAGTTGATGCCTGTGATACCGGTGTCCTATAAGGGCACTGGTTTGAATCCTTGCTGCCCTACTTCTTGCTAATGGCCTGGGAAAGCAGCTGAAGATGGCCCAAGTCCTTGGGCCCCTGATCCTACCTGGGAGACCCAGAAGAAGCTCCTGGCTTTGGTCTGGCACAGCCCTTGCCATTTCAACTTTTGGGGAGTGAACCAGTGGATCAAAGATTCTTTCCTCCTCCTCCCTCCCCTCCTCAACCCGTAACTCTGCCTTTCAAATAAATACAATAAATCGTTAAAAAAAAAAAAAAAAAAAAAAAACAACTTATAGCCTCAAATAAAAAGAGGCTGGTAGAAACAGAAAATGCCATCAGCTTAATTAAGTAGCAGTAACAGGCAAGATTTTAGGCTTTGCTTTGGTTCCCTAATGTTTCATCCTGAGCTTTTCAGCTGCTGACAAGTCTGAAGCAGAGTACTGTCCTGTTGTAAACTTGACAGGGTTTCTGTAACTAAGGCCTATATGCTATCAACAAGGAAAACAACTGGCTTTACATGCCTTGTATTGTGACAGTGAGGCTAGCTGAAGCTCCCAGAAGCTCATCCTTGTGTGTGTGTGATCCAGTCGGTCATGGTGGTTAGACGCAGTGACATACAGATGCTAACACAGATCATCCTCATTGTTGCTCTAGGAGCTGCTATCAGGTGGCAGACTGTCCACACTGCCCATTGGTTTTTCCTGACTGTTGATGTGATGCACACCAGTGATGCCAGTCCCATCAGCAGGCACAGATGTAACTGCCTTTCATAGCCTTTGCCAATTCTACTTCATGCTCCCATGTGGGAAGTTGGAAGTGCCTGGCTTTGTAAGTTTCACTGCCAATGCCAACCTTTCCATGCATCCTGTTGTGTGCTGATAAGTGACTTTTCTCTGATCCTCCAAATCCCATTTCTGGACCTTACTTTCCCAACTCTTCTTGTAATTCTGTTAGATTTAATGTCTATAATAAATTACTTATGATATAATATCCAGTGATTCACAAGAAAACTTATTAGCAAAATATAAAGAAAAGTTAAATTCCTTATACTTAATAATGAAATGTTGAAAGCGTTCCCTTTAGCCCTAAGATCAGGGCTACAAGACTGCCATATTGTCGTGACTTATATTCAACATAATGTAGAAGTCTTAATAATCTGACATTACACTAAGCACTAAGGATAGATTTTTAATATATGTGAGGATTAAAAAGGAAGTGACATTATTTTTTATGATATAATTGTCCACAAAACACAAAATTGTAGTTAAATTGCAAGCAGTAACAAAATGTATATATCAGTAATATTAACTATAAAATGCAATTAAATGTAAGTATATAAATAATAATAATAATATAAATGTAAAGTAACCAGGAATACCATGAATATATGTGGTAGCCCATTACAGTAAAAAAAAAAATGGAAAGACATTAAAGAAGACCTTAAATAAGGTATACCATGTTAATAGACTGGAAGTCCTAATGTTATAAAATTGTCATATATATATATATCTCACATATATATATATATTCAGTAACATTTTAATTAAAATCTCGTTTTTTTAAACTTTGCTAACAGATTCTAAAATTCCATATGGAAGGTCTAACAGAAAGTCTAAATTATCAGAAACCTCTTGCTGAGAAAATTAGAAAAATGAGGGGCCAGTGCTGTGGCACAGCAGGTTAACGCCCCGGCCTGAAGCTCTGGCATCCCATATGGAAGCCGGTTCTAGTCCTCGCTGCTCCTCTTCCAATCCAGCTCTCTGCTATGGCCTGGGAAGGCAGTAGAAGATGGCCCAAGTCCTTGGGCCCCTGCACCCGCGTGGGAGACCTGGAAGAAGTTCCTGGCTCCTGGCTTTGGATCAGTGCAGCTCTGGCTGTTGTGGCCATCTGGGGAGTGAACCATCTGATGCAAGACCTCTCTCTCTCTCTCTCTCTCTCTCTCTCTCTTTCTCTGCCTCTCCTCTCTCTGTGTAGCTCTGACTTTCAAATAAAAAAAAAAACTTAAAAAAAAGAAAATTAGAAAAATGAGATAAAACACCAACAACAATTCATTTGAAGACATTTTGTGGCTATTAAAGCTATGAGGATTCAAAGAGCCAAGATTTTGGATATACAAAAATGGGATGTGCAGGGACTGGTGTTGTGGTGCGTCAGGTTTTACAATATGCCAGCATCCCATATTGGAGTGCTGGTATAAGTCCTGCTTGCTCTGCTTCTAATCCAGCTCCCTGTTAATACAACCAGAAAGGCAATGGAAGATGGTAGAAGTACCTGGACCTTTCCCACCTATGTGGGAGAACTAGGTGGAGTTCCTGGTTTCTGCTTGCAGCCTGGCCCCACCCTAGATGTTGTGGCCTTTTGGGGAATGAAAAAGCAGATGGAAGATACCTCTCTCCCTGTTGATCTCTCTCTCTGTTTCTCCCTCTTTCTCTGTCACTTCACCTTTCAAATAAATTCTAAAATATTGGGGCCAATGCTGTGGCATAGAAGGTTAAGCCTCTGCCTGCAGTGGTCCCAGCTACTCCACTTCTGATCCAGCTCTCTGCTAATGTGCCTGCAAAAGCAGTGGAAGATGGCCCAAGTCCTTGGGCTCCTGCACTCATCTGGGAGACCTGGAAGAAGCTGCTGGCTCCTAGCTTTGTCTTGGCCCAGTCCCAGCCATTGTGGCCATTTGGGGAGTGAACCAGTGGATAGAAGATTCTCTCTATATATATTTATCTCCCCTTCTCTATATCTCTGCCCTTCATATAATAAATAAATCTTTAAAAAAATTAAATCTTAAAAATAAGATTGGAGGCCAGCGCCGTGGCTCACTAGGCTAATCCTCCACCTAGCGGCGCCGGCACACCGGGTTCTAGTCCCGGTCAGGGCACCGGATTCTGTCCCGGTTGCCCTTCTTCCAGGCCAGCTCTCTGCTGTGGCCAGGGAGTGCAGTGGAGGATGGCCCAAGTGCTTGGGCCCTGCACCCCATGGGAGACCAGGATAAGTACTTGGCTCTTGCCATCAGATCAGCGCGGTGCGGGTTTGGAGGGTGAACCAACGGCAAAGGAAGACCTTTCTCTCTGTCTCTCTCTCTCACTGTCCACTCTGCCTGTTAAAAAAAATTAAAAAAAAATAAGATTGGAAAGTGCAAGGAGGTAAGGCTGTCATTTTCTCTCTTCAAGTACTTGTTAGTCTGTGAACAGCAGGCTTGTAGTAACATGGGAGAGAAATTGGAGCTTTTAACGGATCTTTGGGCTATAAGACTAGCATCAAAATTTAGGACCTGACAAAGAGTGGCCCTGATAACAAATTCAGGTTTTACATAAGATATGTGAGATGCTACCATCTATGCACTAACAAAAGCACTGACAAAAAGATCCAAAGTAGCTCATTCAAAAATGGGGTTTAGGTGATCTAATGCCACCGTTAATCTTACTACAGGCAAAAGTGAATTCTTTCTAGAGGAACATAATATAATTCAGAACCTCTGATTACTTCTTCAAATTTTTATGAGCAACATCTGGCATTCAGGAAAAAAAGAAAAGAAAACTAGAACAATTAGCCAAAACCAAGAGAAAAGAGAGCAAGCCAAATAAGCAGACTTACAAGGGATCCATTTATTGAACTTATCATATGTGGGTTTAAAATATTGTAGGTCTTTATAATAAAGGATACACAAAGTAATAAAAAGGATGCCATTGTGGATTTGAATCTTTGAAAATAATGCACTAAAAATATAACAAATTGAGAACCTAGTAAATGGGTTCATTTATATACTTTTTGTAAATGGGTTTAATTGCAGATCACACATAAGTAGAGAATTTATTGAAGTAGAAAATAGATCAATAAAAAAGATCCATAAAGAAATATAAAGAGAAAAATGATGCAAAATACAGAAAAAGCAAGAATTATGAAAACACAGAAATCTAATATGTGTGTATGTGTGTGTGTGTTCAATTCTACAAGGAAAGAAGAGAGAAAATGGGCTTAAAAACAATATTTGAAGAAATAACATATGATAAAATTCTAGAAATGAGGAATAATTACTGAATAAAAAATTCTACAAACCAAATAGAATAAATACAAGCAAAATCAT